GTTTGGGTGATTCCTTCTGCATGACGCCTACGATGTATTCGGCGGTAGGTGTCGCCATTGCGCGCCTCCCCTCCCTCCTCACGTGCCACCTGTCGCGTGCACTAGCATGCTAGAGTGACATCATTGTACCAGCCGCACCGCGCCGCACTATCTATGGGCGGCGCAAGGCGGACTTCACCTCCCCCCCCCTCCCCCCCTTCTGACCCGCAACCTCCTCCATTTTTCTTCCGTCCCTCGAGGTCACACATTTGTTTCCTTCTTGCTCCCACCCTATTTGTCACCTGCCCCCGCCTTGGCCGCCTACTTTTTGCCCGCTCTCACATCTCTCTTGAGGCCTCTCCTCTCTTTATCCTCCCTGTGGGCGTCGTCTATCTCAAGACACCAGTGGTCCGCCCATCTGTAGTTGACCTTTTGCCCCAGTTCTTCCTGGCGATCCAGCCGTCGACAGATCTGACGCTCTTTCTTCCGAGGGTTCCACCGCACCGACTCCAAAGGTTTGGTGGATTGCTTATAATTTTGTGCTTATATGTTTTTCTACGATGGAGCTTAGTTATTAGACTATGTTGATATTCTTCTTTAATCTCGTGCCCAAACTTTGATCTCTATTGTTCTTGATTTTCTTATTGTTGAGTCAATTTGAATTGGCCTCTATTTGTTTTAGAAGGCCTCTATTCGTTTCAGAAGCTTTGCCTCTATTTGGGCATGAAAAACTTGGGTAGAGTTTGGCCTTCCACTCTTATATTATGATCGAATTGATCAAGTGAAAAGCATAAATCCAGTTGATTTCAAGACCACCTTCTAATCACAAGAAATATCTCCTCTATCTAATCATGTTGTCCCTTTCATCACTAAAGTTGAAACATGGACTCACCAAGTTGTTCTATTAAAAAAATACACATGTAGTGCTTTAGGAATGCCCGTTGATGTGAAAATACTCAATGTGACCATGCAGAAGAGAAGATTGATAAGAAATGATATGGTGGAAAGGAATTATTCGATCTACTTGTGATGGAGTGAACCTAACAAACTCGTGCCTAAATAATGTACAATTGTACATGTTTCCCTTCCTGGAAGCCCCAAAAGGTGTACCAGACAACATTTGGAAGGAAATGGGAAACAAAAGGAAATACGATCTAGTTAATTGGCTGGTTGTTTGCGTGTCAAAAGATCGTGGTGACCTAGGAGTGTTGGATCTTCAAGTAATGAATCCCTCTCAAGATCAATGTTTTCTTGTGGTTAACGCTTAGGAATAACATCTTAACCACAGAGAACCAAATCAAGAGAGGGCAGGGTGAAAATGAATTTTTTTATTTATGTTGCCAAACAAAGACAATGGATCACTTGATGTTTGGTAGTCTTGGCGAAACAAACTTGGAAAGTGACAAATTGTGCTCTAGGCATCACCAGAATGCCTGGTCTATTGATGGGATGGTGGTGATGGTGGTGGTGGTGGTGGTGGTGGTGGGGTAGCTAAATTCCTTTCCAGTTAATTAACGCAAATTAATACTCTCTAGGTTCGTTCCAATACGTTGGACCATGTAGAAAACAAGAAATACAACCTTTTTTGGGAAAAAAATCCTGAGGACCAAGTTGTTGCGATTTATAAACTTGCCATAACTTGGATGATGATAGTATATTGCGGAGAAGTGAAGAGCGAGGAAAAGAAAGAAGGGTTGAGAAGATCAAGACATCTTTGGGGAAACCTATTAAAAATAGTCAAGAGTGGAATCCAAGGGCATTTAGGATTACATTGTGATGTGTAATGTTGGCCGAAGTCTTACAAAAAAATTCCTTTCTTTTGTCAAAATTGCAAAAAAATCCATTGTTGCTCTTATATTCAAGGTTGCACAATGATTTGTTGGTAAAACTTGCTATCAAGCTGCAGATTAATATTCTAGATGTGTGCGATGTATTCTTTAAAAAGTTGTGGGAGGGCAGCGTTGTCCCTTTTCATTTTACTATCTATTTTTCCATCAGTTTGCATTGAAATTTTTGCGAGTTTGGTATTTTCTATAATGGAAACAAACGAGGAGACTAGTTTCTTGATTTAAAGTTGACCATTTAAAACTTTGGCACATGCAAAAGTATATTGTTCAAGCTTGCAAGAATAACATCACTGTATTTGTCTGTATTTTTTGTGTTTATATATATTCCTATTATTCTTTATATATATTAGAAAATAAAATTGTAATAAAAATCGCATATTAGGGGGGGGGACAAGAAATTACGTTAGAGACATTTACAAATTAAGCATATTCGCAAATTCCTTTTTTTTAAATGAATCATGCCTTATTTTTTTGAGACATTTTAAAATTAAACAATTAGTCATGTTATTTATTACTCTCTCTATTTAAAATAATTGAAGTTTTATTTTTTAAGTCAAACTTCATTACATTTGACCAAGTTTATAAAAAAACAAGTTAACATCTACAACGCCAAATTTTCCTCAAGCAATTCGTTATGAAATATATTTTCATATTATATATACTTGATATCGTAGATGTTTACATATTTTTTCAGATTTGCTCAAATTTAAAAATATCTGACTTGGCACAATCCTAAAACTTCAATTATTTTAGTCCCTCCGTTCCTAAATATAAGTCTTTTTAGAGATTCCACTATGGTCTACATACGAAGCAAAATGAGTGAATCTACACTCTAAAATATGTCTATATACATCCGTACGTAGTTTGTAGTGAAATCTCTAAAAAGACTTATATTTCGGAACGGAGGGAGTAGAACGGAGGGAGTACTTGGCTTTGCTTTCTTGATATCTGAAAAATGATATATTGGTCCTGTATAGAAAAGGAGGAAGTAGTAATAAATTGCTCAAGTGTGACCGCGTTGGAGGGGAAAAAACAAGTCAACCAGCAGACACTCTGCCACTCCGCCTCCTCTCACCTCCCCGTCACTCCTCCGGGCGGATCCCCTCCCCGCATGACGCCCGCGGCGCGTTCGACGGAATGCGCCGCCGCGCACCGCCCATGTGGGCGCCTCCCCTCCCGTGCCGCCCGCCGCGCGCACGAGCGCGACGTCGCTGTGCCAGCTGCGCGGCGCCGCGCTGGGCGGGGATGGGGGGTGGCGCGAGGCGGACGTCACCTCCCCTCCTCCCTTTTTGACCCGGGCAACCTCCTCCACCTCCACCACCACCTCCGCTTCCCGTCCATGTCACGCATTTGTTCCCTTTTGCTCCCACCCCGCTTGTCCTCTTCCCCCGCCCCGGCCGCCTACTGGTCGCCCGCTCTCGCGTCTCTCTCGCGCCCTCTCCTCTCTTTATCCCCCCCTCCCCGCGGGCGCCGTCGAGCGCAAGACAGACACCGGTGGCTCGCCCGTCTCTCCGGTAGTTAGTTGCCCCCCTTTCGCTTCGGTTCTTCTTTCTTGGCGATCGAGCCGGCAGAATCCGACGCTCTTTCTTTCCCGGGTTCCTCGGCGTCCAGTCCAAAGGTAGTTCGATGAACTGTTTAGAATTTTGAGTTCCAGAATTCTGCGATGGGGCTTACTGATTAGATTATGTTGGTCTTCTTCTTTGATCTCGTCCCCGAGCTCTGATCTCAGTTGTTCTTGATTTTCTTGTTGTTGAGTCAAAATTTTGAATTGCCCTCTGTTCGTTTCAGAAGCTTTGCTTCCGTTTGGGCGTGTAGAACTCTGCTAGAATTTGGCCTTCGACCCTCGGATTCGATCGAATTGATCAAGTGAAAAGAAAGATCCAGTTGATTCCGATACCACACCACCTTCTGATGATCTGATCACAAGAGTGTTTTCTCTGTCTAATCATGCTACCCCTTTCACCAGTAATGTAGAAACATGGGCTCACCGATGATTGCGAATCTTGCCGGATAATTTGGTTGCCACTTGCTAGTGATCACTGTGTGGTCCTAATGGCCTATAATACTTAGAGAAGTGCACCTGTCTTTTTGTCTGATTGTATGACCATTGGTTGCTATTATTGATCACAAAGAATATTTTCTTCCTCATTGAATAATCTCTTCCCCCCTGTTAGGTGACTTGTGAAGAAAAATATCAGGTCATCACCTAACGTGGTTGGAGTATGATCTGGGTTGGCCTCACTGACTGCCAAGGAGTATAAATAGCTGGTTTAGTAGCACTGCACCAGCATTTTGCTTAAGTGAAAGTTCTCAGAGGTTTTCCAGGTATGTCAAATGTAACTGATACAGAGTTGCTTTTTTTTTGAGAGAGAGAGAACTGATACAGAGTTGCTCTGCTGCATTCGGTTCGTTATTCTTCATGTTATTTTGTTCTTGTTTCCTCATGGGAATTCAGACCGAAACATACTGATACAGAGTTGCTCTGCTGCATTCGGTTTGTTATTCTTCATGTTATTTTGTTATTGTTTCCTCGTGGGTGTTCAGACTGAAACATATGATTGGACATGTGGTGCCGTTCGTCACTGATCACTTCTGTTCGATGTGGCTCATATCATTAATGCAGAAATGCTAGCCTTGTCTTACTGAAGTCAAGATCTGCCACTGCAACACAAATTAATGCATGTCACTGTGGAGGTCTCAACAAGTTCTGTTTCTGAATTCACCCTGTTCCCGGTTGCAGGATCAAATATATAAGCTCCAGATCATGGGTTGGTTAAACAAAATATTTAAAGGCTCAGTAAACAGAGTTTCAAGGGGTCATTATGATGGCCACTGGCATGAAGGCAACCAATCTGAGCACACCAGAGTTAGCTTCTTGTCATTTACTTCACTATCTATCCATATGCATATACTTCCCAGTCATTTATCCTTTCTACTTTTTATTGTAGCTAGTTCTTTCTTGTTCATAACCTGTCTACACAAGGAAGCATAGACACATTTCATAGAAGTTTAAACAAGCTAGTTATGAACATATTGAATGCATATTCTTGTTATAAAAAAGAATGGCTATTCAAGTTGCTCGTCATTATTGATGTAGGATGCATATGATGAGAGTGACAGTGAAGATATAGCTCGTGCTATTGCATTATCCTTAGCAGAGCAAGATCCGAATAAGGGAAAGGCTATTGGTTAGTATTATCCAAGTCATTCTTATCCTCTTGCCTCTTCGTGCATTCTATTTGTTACTGACTATTCTTGTCTTATATTATGAATAAATATAATCTCCTTGGGGGCAGTGACCGCCGATATGGAAATCTAGTAGAGTCAGTTACTGAGTAAAAGTTGTTCTTTTTTCCTTTACAATTTTCATATGTTTATTTTAATGCAGATCCTGATTATAGTTTGGAGGAAGATGAGCAACTTGCACGGGCTCTCCAGGAGAGCCTTAATACCGAGTCTCCTCCTCGTCAAAATGCTCCTGTTGAGAATGTTCCATCAGAGAGTATCCCAACAAGGGAGCCACATCAGTCTGTCTTGCCCTCAAGCGGATTCAGGTGACTACTGGATGCTACAGTTTGGTGGATATTTCAATTTGTAAGCAATGTTGTAATTTTAAATATCATAAGTTGCTTTCCGTTTGTTTTCTCAACACGTGTTCTATTCGGAAATATTCTTGGTATGTAGTATGTTTCTTCACCTGCTACACTGTGAGCCCTTTCCTCCTTTTGGAAGCTCAAAAGTGCTGATCTGGTGATTGAATCGAACATAAATGGTGAAAGGAAAGTAGGTCATAAAGAGGGTCAGTCCTTGGTACTTTCTATCAGCTTGCAGGTTTTCATGAAATCGCGGAATGGTTAGCTCTACACATATGCTAGCATTTTTCATAAAGCACAGCATGATTAGCTCCGTAGTAGCAAATTGGCTATCTCCTCTTTTTGACTTGGTACAAGCACCATCACACTATCAGTAGTTTGGATGCCAATCTTAACTTGATCAGAAGAACCTACTATTGTGTGCTTCTATTCATAGCTGTTTTTTACTTGTGTAGGACTTGTGCTGGATGTAGAAAGCCAATTGGTCATGGGCGTTTTCTTAGTTGTATGGATGAAGTTTGGCATCCTCAGTGCTTCAAATGTTATGCTTGCAATAAGCCCATATCAGAGTATGAGGTATATAAGCCTACTATATCACCACCTGCCATGCTTCATTTAGATTAAATAATTGATGCTAATCTTTTTACTATGTAGTTCGCCATGCATGAAGACCAGCCATACCACAAATCCTGCTATAAAGATTTTTTTCATCCAAAATGTGATGTCTGCAAGAACTTTGTGAGTGTTTGCCATCCATGTTTATGGATAAGCATTCAATTATTTTCTTGAGAAAATGAGCATGAAAGTGTTGGCTAGAGTTAAATTTTTGATCTGTGCATTGAATCGTGGTTATTGCATTTTCTTCCCCAGATTCCGACAAATAAGAATGGCCTGATCGAATACCGAGCACATCCTTTTTGGATGCAAAAGTACTGCCCTTCCCATGAAGACGATGGCACTCCTAGGTGTTGCAGCTGTGAAAGAATGGAGGTAAATAAGGATTTTATAACCAATCAGACAAATTCGTCCAGGTTGGCTGGTTCCTGTTACTGGAAGTAACCAGAAAATTTTCATTAAAATTTGGAAAACGGTGAAGGTTAAATAATGTTTTTACTCTGAGAAAACGCAAAAGCTTTTGTCTCGATGCATTGATAGAAAGGACCAAATACATGCATAAGAGATAAGACTAGGCAAATGCAACTAAGCACCCCATCAACAAGGCAACACCTGATTAGACGGCCATTACAAGATGCCTCAACAACAAAACACTAGCAATCAAAATAATGTTCTTGGTGCCAGTATAATGACTCATTATCAGTGTTAATGGGTGAGAAAAAGGTAGAACAATCAACATTGTAAATAAATGACTTATTATCATTTCGGTTCTGAACATTGTCCTGCGGTTTTTATTGCCAGGATCTTGAACTCTGGCTTGATATAATGCTTGGTAGAAGCTTACCTAACAAACTAATAAACAGAAAGTATGCTGTATTATTTGTTCCAATTAATTCTACAACTACTCCTTTTTCTTATAGTGATGTATTCCTCATATGCTTAGCCATCTGTGATTATTTTTCTTTGACATTGAAGATTATCTAGAGTAATTCGTTTCGTTTCATCCTGAAATTCAGCCAACGGACATCAAATATATTACATTAGATGATGGGAGGAAACTGTGCTTGGAATGTCTCACTTCTGCAACAATGGACTCTCCCGAATGCCAACACCTTTACATGGACATTCAGGAATTTTTTGAAGGTTTGAATATGAAAGTAGAACAGCAGGTTCCATTACTTTTGGTTGAGCGTCAGGCTCTGAATGAAGCGTTGGAAGCTGAGAAAAGTGTAAGTAGGATGATAATCTGGTTATTTTGCAGACAATGCTTTGTATACTCCCAACTCATCTGTTCTTATTTTCTTTCATCTCAGGGACATCACCTTCCTGAAACCAGAGGTCTATGTCTTTCTGAAGAACAAATTGTCAGAACTGTAAGTTTCTAAATGCTGCCATATTATTGACTTTATTTGATTACAGGCATGTGCAAATTTTACAGTCTGCAATTTGCATGTACTGAACAATTTAATGCATCCAGATCTTAAAAAGACCAACAATTGGACCAGGAAACAGAATTATGGATATGATTACAGGACCATACAAGCTGGTCCGACGGTGTGAAGTGACCGCCATCCTAATACTGTATGGTCTACCAAGGTATATTGTTCTAGAATTTGTTTCCCCTTACTATGAACACAGGTTAGATTGTTGTTCTTAAGGACCTACTTATTCGAAAGTCATTATCTGTCATGAAGTTCTTTTGTATGGATTGTATCTAGATAAATTTCCTTATAGTTTAGTTGCCATCCAGATTGCAAACTGGCTCCATCCTTGCTCACGAGATGATGCACGCATATCTTCGCCTTAAAGGTACATGTAGTCATGCTCATAAATTTTTAGTTGGATTCACTTGCATTCTCATCCTATTCTCAGCGCCGCCTTCTTTCTTTCTGCAGGATACCGATCCCTTAGCCCTCAGGTTGAAGAAGGCATCTGTCAAGTCCTATCCCACATGTGGCTTGAGTCTGAAATCATTGCCGGTGCTAGTGGCAACGCTTCTTCCAGCTCGGCATCATCATCGTCTTCGTCGGCAGCTCCTACCTCTTCAAAGAAGGGAGCGAAGACAGAATTTGAGAAGAAACTCGGGGCGTTCATCAAGAATCAGATCGAAACAGATTCGTCCGTGGAATATGGGGATGGTTTTCGGGCAGGCATTCAAGCGGTTGAACAATATGGCTTGAGAAGTACCCTTGATCATATGAGGCTGACAGGGTCCTTTCCTTATTGACGATCATTCAGAGAAGAACATTACTCCGATTTGTGAAGATGGCTGCATATTTTGGAGGTTATTTGGTGGAATTAGATGCATCATATATATACAACAGTATAAGATTAGTTTACAGTAAAGTAATAAGAAGAGAAAGAAAGATTATCCGTATAGATATTTTCAAATTTTCCTGTTGTCTGTGAAATAATACATGTAAGTCTTTAAGATATAGAGGTACTATAGTTGTTTTTCACATTGCCAGCATACATGGCAAACTTTGGTGAACATATCTTACATAAAGGAGTACAACATTTGGATAAATTGTGGGGGAAATGTTCTTATCAATTGCGCTGATCATTTTTGTTTCACTGTGAACAAGTGTTTGCGCACTATTCATAAGTTCTCAAGGGCACCGACATATACCATACACAAGTGGCTTTTGCGCACTGTTCATAAAGTTCTCAAGGGCACCGACGAACGTACCATACACAAGTGTCCGTTCCATCATACTCCATCAGTTTCAAATTTGAACTAAAACCATGACAAGTACTCCGTAGTTTGGAACTGAAGGAATCGTATATAGTGTAGGTTAAATTAGGAACATTCATTTATTTGTCAACGTTCGACAAGATCTTTATATCTCTTGTGTACTACTACAAATCTCGTTCCCAGATCAAATGGTTCTTTGCAGTGACTTAGAAATAGTGGTCTGCGATATAGTAATTTTTTTTGTTTTCAAGTGTGTTTACTCAACGAGATGAAAAATGGAATATTTATGTAAAAAAAGAGATGAAAAAGGGAATTGAGAAGACCAAACTGATGAATTTGATGATTTGTAATTAAGCTTTTTGATCATGTATGCAAAATTCCATCATACATCATGCTCACAGGGACCGGTTTGTGAAAAAAAAAACATGTTTCAACGTCACGCATTGATCCTTGCATCTTCATGCCTCGGAGGCTCGGAAGGAGAGGGGGGTGGATTTTTTTGCCTCATTCTACATAGGGTTTGATGATTTGCCCAGTGACGGTGCCAGGAATCCAATCATGTGTAGTCAATTGAATGTTGTGTAGTCAGATATATGCATTTATAAGATTTTTTGGCATGATTTCTACTTGATGCATGTAGTTTTTGCAAAAAGCTGGGTAGTCATTCAAAAAGTCACTTTGGAACCCGGGTGCATTGGAGCCCTATTTTTTGAACTGTGTCAAAATGCTATTTTGAAGTTTCAAAAAATTCTGAAAACAAATCAACATGTTTATATGAATGTATGTTACACATGTGTAAATTTTGATGCTGAAATAAGTAACCATGTGAGTTACACAAAAATGACAAAATCATGATTTTGGAAAGATGAACAGTGCATGTATTATTCACTATTTGAAAATCACTATTTTTGTTATTTTTGTATAGGTTGCATATTTACTTATTTCATCACCAAACTTTACACATGTGTAATATACATTCATATGATCACGCAGAATTTTTTTCGGAATTTTTTGAAACCTTAAATGTGATTTTCAAAGTATTTAAAATAAAGTCCTCCAATACACCCGGGTTCCAAAAACCCACTCTCGGTAGCGCAAGTGTGGCTTCGCCACTGGATTTGCCCCGTCATTGTTTCAGTGGCAAGTGACCCCGGCCCCATCCGGCAACCTGAAGAGGGCAAATTATCAAACGGAGAAGAAATTTCTCCTCGGAAGAAAGAAGGGGAATGGAGAAGGAAGAGGCACGCCGCCCAGATCGCCTCCACAGAAGAAAATCCGGCACGCGAGGCCGTAGCGCCGTAGGCACCTACGCAAGGAGGGCCGGCGGTCCTCGAGGCCGCCTGGCGAACCCGTCCGGCCGCGCCCTTCCCCGGTCGCTTCCGGCTCCTCTCCCATTCTTCCCCTCCATCTCCATGGCCGTGGGGAGTGGGCCGTGCTTGCTCGCCGTGTCGCTTCTCGCCGCCGCTTGGATCTCCGACGCTTCGTCATCGGATAAGCAGGTGCGTGGGGGTTGGAATGGATTCGCCTGGACCCTTGAGCGTGTGTACTAACATTTTTGTGCGATTTTCTGCGGAATCTGCAACCCGTCCATGTTTTGGGTATGCTGTTGCCTGCTGGGGTTGGTTGGGGCTTGTGGTGCCCATACGATGTGTAGCTCGATAAGCGATGGATTGCGCAAAGCTCCCACGCTTCCATGGTCTTGCCATTGGTGATGTAGCCTCGCTCAGCCACAAAGATCAGCAGGATACGTGCAGCAGTCATCTCATGTTAGATTAAGGCTGCTGCCTGTGAGCTCAGTGGTCTGTTGTAATTAACTGTACCTCGTTTGCGGTTTTTTAGCATAATTGTTTGCACATCTGGACATCCCATACTTTTAGGTGCTATATTTTGAATTTTGGTGTGCTTTTGTTCCAAGTTGTTTCATACAGTGTTTTGTTGACAAGTTCTAACTCCTGTTCTGAACAGGCACACAGCAACCGGCAATATGTCAATTGCATGCCTTGCTCTAGGACATACGTTGCTGACGCATATGTCGATGCCTTGACGAGCCAGCTCTCTCAACATCGTGACTTGACTGAAGTACCTGACAAATCTGACTTGTGTAAAGGACTTGCTGATGAACTTGATGTGCCTACGCTTTCAGAAGTGCATCGTCAGCTGGTTGGTGAAGGTTCCCACCGCGGCTTGATCTATTCTGTCAAATTTGGTAACTCCAAAGATGCTATGGTACAATTCCTTGATGGTTACGATGCCAATCTGGTGATAATTGAAAAGCTCCCGAGTGGTGTATTTGCTGACCCATTTGAGCTGCAGCACTTTGTTGAGCGGAAAGGTGAAACCAAACTCTGAGCTGGCCAAGCAACTATGGTACTACTCATTTGCATCATGCTAATTTCCATTTTTGTCTTGCAGTTTTTCTTGATGTTGCTGTTTTTGGAGACACGAACCTTGAACTGCCATCCGCTCTGTCCAACCGGTCAGCTGTTGAGATTCATTTTGATCTCAAACCAAGCACATCAATGGACTATAACCTTGTAACAGAGCTTCCTCTCCATGCTAGATATCCAGTAAGTTTCTTTTTCTTCTCAAACATGCATCTGTACTGTTTGGCAGGCCACCAACCCGAAGCATAGGTCAAAAGAAAACTAAATGAAACCAAAAAAAAAAGAGAAACGAAAGAAGCTAAACTAACTACAAAACTGTCAAGGCTGCAAGATCAATGGGTGCCATCAGGAGGCCCGGTAAATTTCTAATTTTGAAATAAACTATATGTGCTAACAAACAGCCAACTTGATCAATTTGGTCCTTGCTGTCCGCAAATGCGCATGCTTCTTATACAGAAAGTGATCATAAAAGAGGTATCACTCATATTGTGTTCTCAATTTGAGTAAACTAGTTCATGTAGATATTTGAAATACTGAACAGTGTTCTGGTGGTTATATGCATATTACATCCCTGATGGATATTGAACAACGCGTCCTCTCAACATAGGAAACACTTATTTTAGGTCAGGTTGACCCACAATAATGGAAGGCTTGGCACGTGTTTATTGCAGAACATTCAAGTAACAAATATTGAGTAGAGATGGGAAAAAAATGTTGCAACTTCATTTCTGTTTAGTTTTGCTCTAGGTCACCATCTTACTAGCTCCATTTATTTGTGCTAATGTCATGGAGCAACCCACCTTAAAAGGTTTCTAATGTTTTCCATAAGAATATTAAAACTGGCAAATAGTGGCGGAGATGGACTACATCTGGCAAATTTAATTTTCTGATAAGCTGCACGTGACAATAAATTTACTTCAGCTATACAGTCAACAAGGACAGGTAGAAATGAGGAAGACAAATAAGACGAATGCATAAAATCATTATTCATTGTACATTTGGGTGTTTTGGCTTTCATCTTTGTAGGTTGAGTTTATTTTTTATATTATCCTGCTTACCTAAATTGTACACACCTCCGAGTAAATATGGAAGGTTGAATGGTGTCAAGGGATTGAGTAAAACAAGGGTAACTGCAGTTATGTGATCATAAAGTGTAGCTAGTGAAATGTAAACCAAGTTATTGGAGTACATTTGATTTACCTTTTCTAGGGAACACACTAACTTTAAATATGCAATGTAAGAGCATCTACAGCCGGACTTGGCAAATCCAGCCCCTCAAACGCCCGCGGACGCGCCCGGGCGCGTCCGCGGGCACTGACCGAGCACTCCTCAAAAAATGCAATCCACATCTGGACACCTCAATTACCATATCTCAAATCCATATAAAACTCATGCAACTATGTCGACGCGCACGCATCGTCCAGGTACTCCATCACACTACACTAAACATGCCACCGGACTACCAAAATTTGGCATGTTCGGCTATGGTGGAGTTCATCCACGGCTGCCCTTGCCCTTCCCGGCGCCCTTGCCGTCCTTCTCGCGGAGGTACCGGTCGAAGACGCAGTACGGATTGAGCTGGATCTGCTCGTCGCCGTCGCTGTCCTCCTTCTCCTCCTTCGGTGGCAGTCCGGCCATGGCACGGACCGCCCGATTCTGCTCTCGGGCGAGGGCGCGCGTGTTCCTCTGCTGTTGTTTCTTCACAATGCGGGCGCGGATGGCTTCCTCCTCTGCGGCCGCCTGCGCCGCCACCATTTCCGCCGTGATACTGGCCTCGGCGGCCCTTATCCTCTCCTTCCCACGGCGGGCCGCCGGGTCCCGGTGGGACACATAGTCTGCCCGACCGGTGATGGAGAAGGAGAGGTGTTCCGGCTGCCGGGACCACGAGGATCCAGCACCAGAGGATCCGAGCGCCCGGTGAGCCGACACTATGGCATCGCGGTGGATGGATCCGTCCGTCGGTCGGGCGCTGTCCTCCCGGGAGCGGCGGAGTGCAATGCGGACTGCCATTGCCTCCAACCCACACGGGATGACACCCCAGTCGACGGATCCGGACTTGTCGGAGTCCGATCCGCTGCCGGCCATGCTGGAGACGAGTTTGGGTAGCGGAGGGGAGTGGAGTGAAGTGGTTAGGGTTTGCTCCGGCGAGAGGATGGGGACGAATATAAGTGGGGTTGGGCGGGCCAGCATGGGCCGGGTCCGACATGGCGGGCGCGCCCGGGTGTCCCCATATCCGCCCCATATTTGGGCTGGATATGGGGGGTGCTGGTCAGCCCGGGCGTTTGAGGCGTCCGTCTGGGTCGAAAAAACATGACCGGTCAGTGACCGGGCGGCCCGCCCGGGCGTATGAGGCGGGTTTGAGAGGTCCGGCTGTAGATGATCTAATACTTGCATCTGAAATGTCCTACAATGCCTTGGAGAGATTGTTGGATGCTCCAGGAAGTAACGAGAAAAGCAAAGAAAGCTACATTTGTGGTGTGGCCAAATACCCCACCCTACGTTTGAATCTTCTAGCTTGCGGCTTGGAAACATGCCTGAGATATATGTGGTGTCATGAAAGTTTTGCCGAGTTGTCCTGTTTATTTATGTTTGCCCTTCATTTGTTCTAGAAGGTGGATATCCATAACAGTTGGACTTGTACATTAATATTCTAAATATTTTTCCTTTTAAGGCTTTATTTATCATGGTCAACTTCTCGTACATATATTTAGAAAAGCTTATAAAAAAAATACCTGGGTCTTACTTATTTGATTCTTTGTTGATATATCTCTGAAATAGCTCCTAGCAGGCTATTTCTTTTTAAAAACTCGGTCCTAGCAGACTATTCACTATCATGTTTAAGATTCTATAATCTAGCCCTGTTTTATTTATTATCCTGTATTCATTGTCAGCTTCTCATGTGTAGATTTGGTATAAACAATTTTCAATCTCGGTAAATACGTGCCGGCTTTCAGTTTTTTTTGCTTTCTTAATAGTAGAACGCTTCTGAAGAAAACCCCTAGCTGATTGCCGTATTTATTTGCAGCCTCTTGATGCCAGCGGTTACGCAACGGTTGAGTTCGGCAGCCCAGACCTGCTCCTCCGTTACAGGAGAAAGGAAACCCGTCCTGATTCCTGTGTGTGGGCCCTCCGGGATCTCCACGCCACGCCTGTGGAGAAAGCCGCATGGCGCATACCCTGTGGCGACGAAGCGCACACGGGATTTGTATCTAGCCTCACTTTCATGTCAGCTCTGGTTTGCTCCATGTCCATAGTCTTAGCAGCTTCCCTAACTCCTTGATACAAGTGCTGGAAACACAGGACACGGTGCATTGATATGGTCGGCAGAAAATGACTTTTTTTGTCGCAAGACTTGTGCACATCATTTCACGCGTACTTTTACGCGTCATTTGCAAAAAAGAAAAGAAGGATGAAAATTCAATTTCGTGTTCGGGACGTGGTCCAGATCTGAAATTCTGAAGCCACACTGTTCCGTGATATCATCATCTTTGAGGAAGCCAGGTAGAGGCAGTTGAAGAGCATCAGCTGCATTATTGGTGTGACCTTGTCCTGTTGTCACTGCACGCTTATAACTAACTGACGGGCAGAAGAGGGGGGTCGTCCTGGAAGAAGAAGAATAAGAAGATGTGTTGCTGCAACTTGCCGGTTGAAGCGAGCACTTGTGGTGAGTGGATCCGCTGGACAGGGCCTCCATGAAGCCTCTCTGCACTTCACCTGATCACCTCCCTTATTTTACTACTCCCTCCGTCCGGAAATACTTGTCATCAAAATGAATAAAATGGGATGTATCTACCTTTTTATTCATTTTGATGACAAGTGTTTTCTGACGGAGGGAATACTTGTGCCGAGGGCTTGTTCTATTATAATATTTATATATAAAGGGATCTCGTATGACTTTCCAAGCAATTTTCCGATATAAATATTGTTTGATCTTTAAGATTTGAAACACTTGCATTTCGCCTACCGGGCACTTTTCACCTAAAATGAAGCGCATCCGCCGGATGGAGCATCGTCCATCGATCGGCCAGTTAGTATCGGCTGCACAGTACTTCCGTTCACCTAATTCCACTTTAAAAGAAAAGTGATTTCCTATATTGTTCCTTTGGTGCAATCAATGGTATCCTATCATGTAGGATGAACTGACAGCGATGAAATCACTTAATTTTTCATCATGTTCTTATGTCATTAGAATCCCGCGAATCATAGAGTCCACGAGATACGTAACCCCGCGATTCAGATGGTCCACACGATGTAGAATCATCGAATCAAAGATGTCCACACAAGATATGAATTATGATATGCGCAGTGGTGGGTCTCGATCACAGCAGTAATCTCCACGTCGGTCAGGTTCGTCGTCCGCCTCGCTGAGTGCTGCTTCGCCTAGTGAATGCCGTCGCTGTTATTCTGCATCCATGGATAGGGACCTCGCTGACACGGCAACCCCGTGGCCTGTGTGGACTAGATCGGCTGTCCATTTGCCGCGGCCAGTATCAACTTCGCCTTATATTTGGCGTCGACAGCGCGAGGCGTGAAGATCCAAAAGACTGGCGGGGCGGATTTGGTGTGACCGTGGTTCCAAGTCATCAATCAAGAATATCAAACATGTAATAAAATAGACTAATCCGAAAGCTTCTGAAGAGCCGCTCAGGTTGGCATATTATCGACGAGAAGGACCGAGACAACACCAGAATGAAATCTATTACTCCCTCCGTTCGGAATTCTTGTCGCAAAAATGGATGTATCTAGATGTATTTTAGTTCTAGATACATCCATTTCCGAGACAAGTAATTCCGAACGGAAGGAGTACTTCCTCTTTTCGCAAACAACAAAGAATCTATTACTGCCTCCATTCCAAATTAAGTGACATGGTCTTAGTTGGAACGAAGGAACTAAGATACTAAGCTCTCTTGATTTGAAGTTTTTTTTTTCCTTTTTTACGGGAACTCTAGATTTGGAGCCTCCTCATGCATCGAGGTTTGTGGGAGATGCTATGATCCCCGTCCCTAAGGGTGTGTCGTTGGGCCAGCCGTTTATTTTCCAGAGAAGGTATTGCCTGATTTTTTTTTATTTTCTTCCTATATGTGTTTTTCACCGGTTTAAATAGTTTTTCTTTTGGGTTTTCTTGCTTTTATCTTTCTTGTTTCTTTTCTTTTCTTTTCTTTTTTATTCTCTTTTTTCTTCTCTTTTTATTCTTACATCTAATTTTGTTTCTTTCTTTTCTATGTTTTTCACTGGTTGTAATGGTTTTTCTATTGGTTATTTCCTGCTTTTTTTTGTCTTTCTATTTTTTATTTATTTTTCTCATGATAAGTCGAAAACTATGGACATTTTTGAATTCATGAATATTTTGAAAGACTTTGATCATTTTAAAATTTAAGAAGTTTTGTCAATTTTGCGAACATGGTTGAAATCCACAAATATTTTTAAACTCCTGAGGATTTTTCTAAAATTCATATTTCAAATATTAAAAATATTAAAATCCAAGATGTTTTGAAACACGTAAACTTCTTTGAATAGAAAAGTGAAAAACAAAACTAGGCGAGCTAGTGGAGCAGGGAGCCGAGCGAGAGCTTCATGGGCGACCCATGTAAGCGTGATAGCACCAACTCCATGGTTTCAATATGGAATAAGATCTCCCAAGGGGCACATACAACCACCAATTGCTATTGTCGAGGCCGAAATGTGTAAGGAATCCATAACCACACACGTAAAAACGTCGCTCTCATCTCATAACAAAATATTGTCTCCAACAGTCCCAACATGATATACTAGATGTGCTAATTCTCATCTAGATAAAAATTAACAAAGTCATATCTAACTTGTAATTATTTAATCAATCAAACAGAAAGAAAAGAAAAGAAAAACTCCACGAATCTCCGTGTAAAATAAAATGATGTAGAAGTTAGACGTGGCTTTGTTAACTATCATCTATTCCCTCAGTTTCAAAATAGATGACCCAACTTTATACTAATTTTGTATTAAAGTTTGTACAAAGTTGAGTCATCTATTTTGGAACGGAGGGAGTAGATGAGAGCTAGTCACACTCATATATACCATCATAATATAACCTGGAATATGCGACATGAAGAAAAAGTAAAAAAAAAGGAGAGAAAAAAGTCTATGTATCATATATAAAAAAAGCCAGACAGTATGTAAAATAAGCGATATATTCACTCTATCTCTTTTGGAAAGTTTCCACTGCCTTATCAACAAAATCAGCTGTCACCTGTTATAGGCAGACAAGCAAACGGCAGACGGCGACCGAAAATAAAAAATAAAGCGAGTGGCACGGGGACAAGCGTAAAGTATCCCGGGGAACAGTTGGCCTCCCTCCCTCGCTCGCTCGCTCTCCTCCTCCTCCTTCCGGCTCGGCTCCTCTGCGGTGGCTCGCCGCGGTGGGCCCCACCCCGTTCAGCCCGCAGCCCAATCATGAGCCCGAAACGGCAACGAGGCCTGGACGGGGGATCGGCGCACCCCAAACGAACCTCCCACTCCTGCTCCCACCCCAGCCAGGGAAACAAAACGACGGGGCGGAGACGAGACGCGTCCCGTCCGCGCACGCTACTCGATTGGTTGCTTCCTTCCGCCCGCTGCTGCTGCCGCTGCCGCCAGCGCCCCCTCCTCCTCGAATCCCTCGGTGCCCTAGCCAGCCCGCCGCCCCCCGACGACGACCGGCGGCGAGCGAGAGCGCGGATCGTGCCCCACGCGCCGCTCCTTCCCCTCCCGGAGGGAGACCCCGCCGAGGTACGCCCGCCCGCTCCCCCCTTGCTGCTCGAGCGATCGGATCTTCGCGGGTACGGCGCTGGCTGACCGGGTGGTGGTGCTGGTGCAGGATCGAGACCGGCCGGCCGCGGAATGGGCGGCCGCGATGACTAGCGGGGGTCGCGCGGCGGCGTTGTTGGCGGAGGCAGCGGAGCGCATACCATGGTGCAGTGTCTCGACGGCGTGAAGCACCTCCTCGCGGTCCTCTTCAAGTGCTGCGACCTCGAGCTCAAGCAGCCGCGGGGGCTCGAGGACCCCCAGGTCCTCGCGCGGGAGACCGTCTGTACGTCCCTCTTCGCTTTTCGTCGCCCTTGTTTTCTGCTCATCCGTAGCGGGGGAATTGAACTGAACTGGGTCGGATTTCTGTGCGTGGCGCAGTTAGCGTGAGCGAGGTCGAGGCGCTGTACGAGCTCTTCAAGAAGATAAGCAGCGCCGTGATCGATGACGGGCTGATTAACAAGGTAGGTGGTTGCTGACGAGTGCTTGTTTCGCAACTCAATTCTGTGTGTAAGCACTGTAGATTGCATATCACTGTAGTAGGTTTTGTTCTGAGGATTGTATTTAGGTATTGTGAATCGTCCCGTGGGTGCTGCGGTTCTGATTTGTTCGCACTGTGCAGGAGGAGTTCCAATTAGCGCTCTTCAAGACGAGCAAGAAGGAGAGCCTCTTCGCTGATCGTGTAAGTCCGCTTTAGTTCATATTGTTGTGTACTGCTGCTTGTCATGATGTTGTCGTTGCATATTTGGTATCAGTATTACTACCATGCACTTGCTATTTTTAGGGACCTGGTCAAAATCGATGAGATTCAGGGGTTCTTGATTGTTGACGTTGCATCCACAATTTAACTCTGTTCAATACTTATCGATGCAACACATGCAGTAATTGACTCGTAATTATTTTGTGGAAATAGTATGAGTTAGCAGAATTCCGCCGACCCTCGCTTCAGATATTCATGCATCACAGTATTACTCAGCCATTTATGCCTTTCTCGGAGTCCGACTCCGATTCGGCAAGATTTTTGGATAGAGCTAATAACATACGGATTCCGATATGGATTCGGAGTATCCGATTCAGCCCATGACATGGTTTCACGAGTATTACTATATGATTTTCAGTAGTCTGAAATAGGATTTACCCTTTCTGTCTTGTATTTCCGCTGGACAATTTTCTAAATAATGTCCATCATTGGTTAATCATGTGAGGTCTATGTCTACCTGTTAGCTACCTTCAACCAGTGGTCAAGACAATTTGATCAGACAGTGAATATTTCAAGTATTCACCTTCTGTGGCCCATGTGATGCCCTTTGTCCTGTGTGTTACTTCCCACATGCTTCCTTTTTTGCCCAGCTCAGAAATTTGCAGGCTTCTCGCACTTTTACCCTGAGCACGTGTTATCATACATGCTTGCTTTAAAGCAATACTATTAGAGCATCTCCAATAGCATGTGTATATTTGGATGTCTATATATTCATATAGACAATGGTCTAAAAAGATTCCCTCATATACACATCCAGTTTTGCATCAGAACGTCTATATACACGGACCATGACAGGTGGGCCATTGCTGGGAGAGGAAAAAATCATGACTACAGCTGAGTTTAGACAACGCCTTCACATTGTCCAGGCGTGGACATTGTCGAGGTCGATTTAGAGGATGTGTATATTTGGACGACCATATAGACAAGCTGTTGGACGTCTGTTTTGGGCTCACGTCGTGGAAAACGAGTATAGACATCCATATAGACAAGCTATTGGAGATGCTCTTATATGTCAAGTTTCTTGGATAAAAGAATATAGCAATAACTTTGAGATGATACTCTTCTTACATAATGTACCAGTTTGATGACAATATCATAGCTCCTGAAAGTGTGTCGTGCATTGCATGCATCAGAGTTAGTTTTTTTCCTTGATTCAGCATGTTCATGCAGTATTGTGTTATTTCTAATTGGAAGCTGCATATGTGCATCTCTTGACTGATTTGCCCTGTAGTTTACTTTATTATCAGCAGGAATGCCTTGTATATCTCTTGTCAAAACTCAGTGTGCTTCTATATTTGAGTTGTGATGAGGTTATCCAACATTTGGCTAGTTCTTCATGGTTCCTAGACACTGGTGCTAAATGCATAGTGCATAGCTATTTTTTGATACTCGAAGTTTATTCAAATTAAATGGCTGTGTTCCTCTGTATGGAAGGTCATCAACTTACCAAGATGGATCTATCAATTTTAGCCGGAGAGTTTCCTTTAGAGAACTTGGAAGCCAAAAATGTTGAGGACCATATTATATCATGATATGTAAAAGAAACAGCTGCGTGAATATCATCTCTTTTACTATTTGCTGCATGAATTGACAAATAGTTTACCTTTTTTACACATTATGTTCTTGTGTTCTTGATATTTTCCCTGCCTGTGCAGGTATTCGATTTGTTCGACACAAAGCACAATGGAATTTTAGGGTTTGAAGAGTTTGCTCGTGCACTCTCAGTGTTTCACCCAAATGCTTCAGTTGAAGAGAAAATTGACTGTGAGTTCATTTATCTTGTAGCTAGAAAATGTGGTTCTGCAAATTATATCCAGACTCTAGATTGTATCATCATAATGGTGATACCTCTTCAAATATAAATGTATGCCAGGATTCTCACCTACCCTAGTCTAATCATCAATTTCTGGATACTGTACTTGTGTTTGTGGTTAAATAGAGGAATTTAAGGATCTTAATATTTTATGTTATGCTCCTGCCTCGTCACATCCTCTTTATGAGCTGGAAGATCTGAAGTTCATGTCATCTTTTACAGTTTCATTCCAGCTATATGATCTTAAGCAACAAGGCTTCATTGAGAGACAAGAGGTATTGATACTATTTCCAGTGTTGTAATCCGTCAGGTCTAGCATGTTGGCTAAATATATTAGCTTGTACAGCATTGTAAATAATTCAGAATGTTCCTGTATTGTCTCTGATACATGAAATTATGCTTTATTCAAGTTAATGTCCTTTGAAGTTGATGGCCTTGTCAGTTACTCTTGAGTAGTTATGAATGGTGACCATGTATGCCCACACAACTGATGAAAGGAAGGCCCAGGCTTTCTGATAATCACTGATTGAATGAGGGTTTACAAAGTTATGAAACAATTCTCTGAATGTAGAGGCAGTATCTGGGTAGTGCTGGTTAATGGTTATGCTAAAGTTAAGAGACCAGTAGTTCAATCAGGCTTCTTACTATTTAAAAAAAATTAGGTGAATTATCAGTCTTGTTCCCAACAGATTGAGGTTTAATTCCTACTCCCTCCGTCCCAAAATATAAGATCATTTTTTACACTACCCAAAATATAAGATCATTTTTTACACTGTCATAGTGTAAAAAATGATCTTATATTTTGGGACGGAGGGAGTTAACATATTGCAGTGGGCCTTATTGTTGAGATTCAGGAATTATATCGTTTAGCTTTGAAGAACTGCTATTGTATTCTTGAGGCTAAGTTTGTGCAGTGCGTCAATCGTTTGGTTGAGCTTTCTCTGTTTGCTTCATCTTAACGCATATATTTGGTTATCAGGTTAAGCAGATGGTTGTTGCCACACTTGCGGAGTCAGGAATGAATCTGTCTGATGAAATTATAGAGAACATAATTGATAAGGTGTGTTACAGTTGCCGATGATTGTTTTGTTAACCCTTGATTATAGCACGTATTAGGCATTAATTCTCTAACTTGTATTATGTAGTGCTGTAATTCTCAATTCTTGTATATGACAGTTCCACATAGCATTTCTATTATTAAATCGCATGAATACTGTTTTCCTTTCTTTTCTTTCTTTTCAATACAAGTATTCCTCATTCCCTGTTTTCCTCCTGTTGCATGATGATTGTAACCCATGTTAAATTTGTTGTTTTTTCCCCTCATGATAAGACGTTTGAGGAGGCAGACACAAAGCATGATGGAAAAATTGACAGGGAAGAGTGGCACAATCTGGTTCTTCGACATCCATCTTTACTGAAGAACATGACTCTCCAGTACCTCAAGTAAGATATTTCCTTTTGTTTTTCTATATATGATGGTTCTTTTTATGTGCATCTTCTACTCAGTGCATTTGCTTTAACGGTTTACTGATGCTCGTGGATAAGAATTTATTTCTGCAGTTAGTGTCAAGTTACAAAGTTTTTCTTTGATTTTACTCAAGATATTTAGTTTTTTCTATATGTTGGTTCTTTTTATGTATCTTCCACACCTCAACACAGTGCTCTTCGCTTTATGTTTCCCAGTTACCTGCTGCTCTTGAATAAAGACTGGTAGAAATTTCATTCTCGATTTAGTGCCAAATTACCATTGAAATATCTTGTAATGTGAAACAGTGTTGTCTGGAGAGTCACATACTTGAGATGTGGTTAATCAAACTTCAGCTGTGTACATGCAAATAGTGCTATTGAGTAAAGCGTGCTGGCTCAAGTATTTGGGAATTCATGCACTGTTGATGAGCTACACCAAATTATTTCAAACATGTGTGCTCAGTTAGTGCTTCAGCCTCAAGCCAACCACTTCATGTCAGGAGCCAGAAGGCTACAAGTCTTTAATAGAAAATAGTTAGGTTTTATGTCTTTTATGTTTGTCAGATAGATTCCTAGACGTGAGCAGTATATGACATATTTCTAGTACCTCTGTTCTTTTATATATTTCTCAAGCTAACTTTGCCATTGTGAGCAGGGACATCACCACAACATTTCCAAGCTTCGTCTTCCATTCTCAGGTCGACGATACCTGAAATTCTTGCAGTTCTTTCGAATCGGAACATCAGAAGATAAGCTTGCGGTAATTTTGTAAAGTTTTGGCATCGGACTGTTTGGAACTTTGGATCGGCAGAGAGCTAGAGGCCTCGGTGCTCTGGAGGATGTTGAATTTGAGAACGCAAATTGTTGTCAAATAACTTTGCTTCTTTCATTTGAAGAATTTAGTATTGTTGGGAGCCTTTGGGCAAGCTGTTATCTCTTATCTGAAGTTCCCATTTTCTCCTCTCCCCCTTTTTGGTTTTTTGCCTGGTTAGCGATCAGGTCCAATCCTCTGGGAATTCTGCTTTGTGTACAAAAATGGAAACAGCCTTGACATTGTTTGTTATCTTTTGCTGCGAAGTTTCTCCATCGCTTTGCATCTATAGTAAAGTGGAGTAGAAAATGGATTGGATTTTGTTTACCCGTTTCCCTCACATGATAAATACTCCCTTCGTCTCATAATGTAAGAAGTTTTTTGACACTACACTAGAGTAAAAAAAACGTCTCACATTATGGGACGGAGGGAGTACTGATCAACCCTTTGTTCATCTTACAGAAATTAGGGTTACAAAATATTCCTCTGCTAGGTCGAGTCGCATCTTTTCTATTACAGAAATTATGGGACTCAGGCTTTTATAGTTCTCCTTCTGTCACCCTTTTATATCCATTGATTTTATGTTAACCATAAAAATTGATGGCTGAAATTTAAAAATCTTCGAGATTGAGTTGTTTTATTACGCGAAAGTATTGCACATGGACACTTGAGGTAATATTCTTACTGCTAATTTTTATGCCTGTCTAAATTACACTCCATCCGTTCTAAAATAGATGACCAACTTAGTACTAACTTTATGCTAAAGTTAGTATAAAGTTGAATCATTTATTTTGGAACGGTGGGAGTACGTGGCAGTGGCCACGCTATGTTTTGTAAGTCGCACGCACGCGCACACTCGTACGGCCAGCCCGTACTGGGCCATATAGTGGATAGAATGGGAGCGACTTGCTAATTAAATCAAGGATTGATTGTGTGGGATAAATAGTAGAATACAAGGAGATGGAGGACGGACGGCAAATCAATCGAGCTCTCTCAATAAGGGTCAAGGAGCATGAGGAGATGGAGGAGTCGATCAAAAATCAGGCCAGCAGCCAAGCTTTGGTAGACAACGAACGGCGAGGCGTGCCGACGATCGATGCCCTCAACGAAAGAAGCAGGAAAGGCGCTGGTGCCAATGGTCGATGCCCTCAACGAAAAAGAGCAGCAATAACTGGCCGCTGGCCTCACAAGGACGTCGTCTGCCTCTCGTGCGCAGTGGTGTCCAAGGCCGTCGTCTTCCTGCTTGGGATACTGTTGGTGAGGTGCCGAGCCCGTCGGCCTTCACGGTTGTGTTGGCCACACCAACGAGAACGATATCTGTTAGAATGATATTGTGAAGGGAGTCCATCACCCGTCTACGTGCGATCGAGAATGACACGGTGTTCGTTGGCCGAGGTCAGCCCGAGCTGCATGGCACTGTTGTCATGCTACTCAAACGAACAGACAATGCAAATGAACCTACACAGCTAATGTTGTCATTTTATGCCCCACAACCCTGCAAGGATGAGGACGTTGATATTTTCTTTCAGACTACCCCTTCCGTTTCCCCCTCATTGGGAAGTGCACGCCATGGACACTGTGAAAGCACAAGTGCTCCCTGGATGATTTTGTTAATTAATATCAACATATCTCTTGTTGGACTAATATCTTTATCTAGTATATTTCAGAAAATTCAACAATGGCATGGCATGGACAAAAGGATGTGGAACCCCTTCAAAATGCTAAGGACAAAGATTGGCAAAAGCTCAAGACTCTTCATTTCTATTTTAGTGATCCAAGATCACATTGAGTTCATAGGAAAAGCCAATACTATTAAAAGGGGACGAAGTGTTGCTTAATGGTCTACTTGCTCAAAGTGCTTAGTGATATGCTCCAAAGCCCTCAACCACTTTCTCAATTTCAAATTTGTCCAAAACCTAAAGTCAAACTCGGCCCCACCGATTTGATCTATCCGGCGCCACAGAGTTCCTTTGACATAGCCACTGCCAGAAACCCTAATCAATTCGATCTCACCGATAGGATCTCGGTCTCACCGAGATGGCCTTGCAAACTCTCTGTTGTCCGTTGCAATTATTTCGGTCTCACCGAAATAAGCAATCGGTCCCACCGAGTTTGCCTGACGAACTCTCTGTTTGCTCATTGCTGAAATCGGTCCCACCGAGTTCATGCAATCGGTCAAACTGAGATGAGGTTTTGCCTTAACCCTAGCACATCGGTCCCACCAAGTTGATCTTGTTGGTCCCACCAAGATTCCTAACGTTCACATTTTTGAACTGAGTCGGTCTCACCGAGTTCACCTATTCAGTCTGACCGAGTTGGGTCAAATATGTGTAACAGTTAGATTTTGTGTGTAGGCTATATATACCCCTCCACCCCCTTCTCTATTCTAGAAAGAGCCATCAGAACATGCCTACACTTCCTCTACTCATTTTTGAGAGAGAACAACCTACTCATGTGTTGAGACTAAGACATTCCAATCCAACTACAAGAATCTTGATCTCTAGCCTTCCCCAAGTTGCTTTCCACTCGAATCATCTTTCCACCATAGCCAAATCTGTGAGAGAGAGTTGAGTGTTGGAGACTATCATTTGAAGCACAAGAGCAAGGAGTTCATCATCAACACACTATCTATTACCTTTTGGAGGGTGGTGTCTCCTAGATTGGTTAGGTATCACTTGGGAGCCTCCGTCAAGATTGTGGAGTTGAACCAAGGAGTTTGTATGGGCAAGGAGGTCGCCTACTTCGTGAAGATCTACCCGAGTGAGGCAAGTCCTTCGTGGGTGATGGCCATGGTGGGATAGACAAGGTTGCTTCTTTGTGGACCCTTCGTGGGTGGAGCCCTCCATGGACTCGCGCAACCGTTACCCTTCATGGGTTGAAGTCTCCACCAACGTGGATGTACGATAGCACCACCTATCGGAACCATGCCAAAAATCTTCGTGTCTCCAATTACATTTGCACACTCCAATCCCATCCCTTTACTTTCTTGCAACCTGCATGCTTTACTTTCCGCTGCTCATATACTCTTGTCATGCTTTCTTAAAATGTATTGTGAATGCTTAAACTTCTGCTAAAACTCCACCTCAACTTAAAGAAATTAAAAACTTCTACTTTTGCTTGTTGAGGGTCTAACCACCCCCCTCTAGACACCTCTTCTCGATCCTTTCAATTGGTATCAGAGCATTGGTCTCCATTGCTTTGGTTTAATCACCATTGGAGGAAGATGGATGAGTCTACGATTAGGAGTATTAGACGTAGAGTGCCTATGCTTGATGGAGAGTTCTATAGTGCTTGGAAAAATGAGATGCTTGAGATTTTCAACGAATATCACTTGAACAAGTATATTACTAGCCCTTGTGTGCCTCCTATTGATCCTTTGCATCCTACCCCTGATGAGTCTCTTGACATGATCTGCAATCTTAGAACTATTAATCTTATCATAAGAGGATTGCCTAGAAATTTGATTGTATGTTTGCCCACTCTTGAATGTGCTTACACCATATGGAGATATCTTGAGGAATGCTTTCCAAACTATTCCTTGAAAAACTTAAATGATATTCTTCAAAAGTCCATAGCTTTTCATAAAATGAAACCTAGTGACCCTAAATTTGATGATTGTCTATTTGAGCTTCATGGCCTTATGCGTGCCAAAGGAGATGTTGGAGTCATTAGTAGCATCATTTCTCAAGTCATTAGAATTCATAAAGATGCACATTGCCATGGTCATACATCTAATGAATCACTCTCTCTAGGTGTTGATCAATCACAAGATGATGTTGAACATGGATACTATGATGAGGATGATGATAGTGACTTTGATCTCGATGAGTCTATGAGACACTTTGGTCTTATGGCGGGAGGAAAGGAATGTGTTCTTGATAGTGGATGTACTAATCATATGACCAGAGATAAGGACATGTTCTGTGAGCTTGCTGAAAACAACGACCCTCAAAAGTATGTCACTTTTTGGTGATAACTCAAAGGGTAAGGTGGTTGGCCTTGGTAAGGTGGCCATCTCACATGACAGCTCCATCAAAATGTTATGCTCGTTGAATCTCTTGGCTATAATTTACTTTTCATATCTAGACTAGCCGATTTTGGTTTTAATGTCTTATTTACTGAAATAGATTGCCAAGTGTTTTGAAGAGATAATCATAATATGGTCTTTACCGGTATACGTAGAGGTGATCTATACACTGTTGATTTCACAAAAAAGGCTCAACCTAGAACTTGCTTAATTGCTAAATCTTCTAAAGGTTGGTTGTGGCATAGAAGGTTCGGTCACGTGGGCATGCGAAATCTTGATAAGCTTATTAAAGGTGATCATATCCTTGGTGTTAAACATGTTATATTTGACCAGGATAGACTTTGCAGTGCTTGTCAAGCAGGAAAACAAGTTGGAGGAAGTCATCCCGTGAAAAACATTATGACCACGAGAAGACAGCTTGAGCTACTTCATATGGATCTTTTTGGTCCTAATGCCTACAAGAGTCTCGGTGGTAACTCGTTCAGTTTGGTCATTGTTGATGATTTTTCAAGATTTACGTGGGTGTTCTGTCTTGATGATAAATCGCAGGTCCAAAAGATCTTCAAGAACTTCGTTAGGAAGGCCCAAAATCAATTTGAAGTGAAGATCAAGAAGGTTCGAAGCGACAATAGAACGGAGTCCAAGAACGCCAATGTGGATACCTTTCTTGACGAAGAAGGGATTTCACATGAGTTCTCGGCTACGTACACACCTCAACAAAATGGAGTTGTTGAGAGGAAGAACCGGACACTCATCAATATGGCAAGAACAATGCTTGATGAATACAAGACGCCAAAACACTTTTGGGAAGAAGTGGTTGAGACAGCTTGTCATGCAACTAATCGACTATATCTTCATAAGCTTCTCGGCAAGACGACATACGAGCTTCTCACTGGTAACAAACTCCAAGTTGCATACTTTTGAGTATTTGGCT